CACAGCGCCGCGTTGTTCTAATAGTCGCATATTTATCCTGCTTAAGCCTTGGACGTTTTGGATAGAGGTATTTGACACGGTAAGACTGTCAAGCATCGAACTCCAATGCAGGCGCACCTGATAGCGATCCCCCTCTTTCTATGACCTGCCACATACGAACGGACTTATCCTTACAGCCGGTTGCGAAATAGGTGCCGTTTGGAGTAGGGTTCCAGGTGATGCTTGTGACTGATCCATGGAAACCTTCAACAACTGCCAAACATTGAACCGAATTCACATCCCACAACCACACGGTCATGTCACAACTTCCCGAGGCAATCTGCTGGCCGCTGGGCGAATACACCACGCTCGTAACTTCGGAGGCATGGCCGCTTAAGATGGGACCGGGTGCACCGGTTTTGCGCATCCCACCAGTCGCACCGTGTTGTCCCGACTTCCCGAGGCGATCTGCTGGCCACTGGGCGAGTACACCACGCTCCAAACACACTCGGTATGGCCGCTTAAGATGGGACCGGGTGCACCGGTTTGCGCATCCCACAGTCGCATCGTCTTGTCATAACTTCCCGAGGCGATCTGCTGGCCGCTGGGTGAATACACCACGCTCGTAACATACTCGGCATGGCCGCTTAAGATGGGACCGGGTGCACCGGTTTGCGCATCCCACAGTCGCACCGTCTTGTCCCAACTTCCCGAGGCGATCTGCTGGCTGCTGGGAGAATACACCACGCTCGTAACTTCGGAGGCATGGCCGCTTAAGATGGGACCGGGTGCACCGGTTTGCGCATCCCACAGTCGCACCGTGTTGTCCCGACTTCCCGAGGCGATCTGCTGGCCGCTGGGTGAATACACCACGCTCCAAACACACTCGGTATGACCGCTTAAGATGGGACCAGGTGTACCGGTTTGCGCATCCCACAGTCGCACCGTGTTGTCCCAACTTCCCGAGGCGATCTGCTGGCCACTGGGCGAATACACCACGCTCGTAACATACTCGGTATGGCCGCTTAAGATGGGACCGGGTGTACCGGTTTGCGCATCCCACAGTCGCACCGTGTTGTCCCAACTTCCCGAGGCGATCTGCTGGTCACTGGGCGAATACACCACGCTCGTAACTTCGGAGGCATGGCCGCTTAAGATGGGACCGGGTGCATCGGTTTGCGCATCCCACAGTCGCACCGTCTTGTCCCAACTTCCCGAGGCGATCTGCTGGCCACTGGGCGAATACACCACGCTCGTAACAAGGGAGGTATGGCCGCTTAAGATGGGACCAGGTGCACCGGTTTGCGCATCCCACAGTCGCACCGTGTTGTCCCAACTTCCCGAGGCGATCTGCTGGCCGCTGGGAGAATACACCACGCTCGCAACATCGGAGGTATGGCCGCTTAAGATGGGGCCGGGTGCACCGGTTTGCGCATCCCACAGTCGCACCGTTTTGTCGCCACTTCCCGAGGCGATATGCTGGCCGCTGGGAGAATACACCACGCTCGTAACATCGGAGGTATGGCCGCTTAATATGGGGCCTGGTGCACCGGTTTGCGCATCCCACAGTCGCACCGTCTTGTCGCCACTTCCCGAGGCGATCTGCTGGCCGCTGGGAGAATACACCACGCTCGTAACATCGGAGGTATGGCCGCTTAATATGGGGCCTGGTGCACCGGTTTGCGCATCCCACAGTCGCACCGTCTTGTCGCCACTTCCCGAGGCGATCTGCTGGCCGCTGGGCGAATACACCACGCTCATAACATACTCGGCATGGCCGCTTAAGATGGGACCGGGTGCACCGGTTTGCGCATCCCACAGTCGCACAGTGTCGTCGTAGCTGCCTGAGGCGATCTGCTGGCCGCTGGGCGAATACACCACGCTCGAAACATCGGAGGTATGGCCACACAAAATGTGAGCTTTTGCCCAAGTCGAAGTGTCATACACGCTGATCGTGCCATTCCTGAGACCTACTGCACAGAACTTCCCATCTGGCGAATACGTGCAGGAATTCACCTCGCTATCTTCTAAGAGGTACGGCCATTCGCCAAACTGCACCCCCGCCACCTGTGCGTTGCTCAAATTGGCCTGACGCAGCCAAATGTTGCGAAGGTTGACTTTTCTCAAATCTGACCCTTGTAGCTGTGCAGAATCGAATTGGCCCCCACTCAGGTCCGCTCCTGGGATCCGGATGCCTTTCAGATCTGCACCGATAAACGGCATCCCCGCTCTGACCAATATCGTGATCGCATTGGCTGCCGCCTTGCGTGCCTCTTTGTCGGTTTTGGAGCATTCGATCGTGGCGAGCAGTTGCTGCTTGAAGAGAGGCTCCTGTTGGACACGCTCTGTTAAAAAGTGCAGAATCGACGGCTCGTCCACAAAGCTTTCCCGCGCCAAGGGTGAATCGAGCACGGCCTGTTCAACGGTTCCCACTGGTTCCTCTGCATCAGCTTGTTTTTCAAAGCTCATGATGGAATGGACGCTCCCTCGGCGTGGCAGGACTTCAGGTAAGGCCGCACGGCTCGCACTCTCTCCGTCCCGCGGCTCAAATACCGCACGGGCCAAGCAGTATTCCAGCAGTGATTTATGGATAAACCGGTACTGATTGCCACTGCGCGTCAGAGGACACGCCTCACGCAAGAGCTGCTGCTTCTCGTTCTCCCGGCTAAAGAAATCTTCTTTCCATGTTCCTTGATCGCGAAAGGGTGAGTACTCGACCACCGGATTGCCCGCTTGCTTCTCGTACATCGCCACGCTAACGCTTTCAGAAAGGCAACTCCGTTCTGTGCAAAACCATCGTCCGACAAGTTCTCAAACACCTTCTTCTCTTGGTAGCTCAAGTCCTTCTTCTCAACAAGCCGTTTCTTGCCTCGCTCCAACCATTGCTCCACAAACTGGTCATACAACGCGACTCGCGTGACCTGCACGGCCGAGAGGTCTTGTCCTGGATCCACCATGCGCGGTAGTACCTCCAAGGACAGCGTCAACATAAAGGGGTTCTTGACCAGGTCCTGCAGGCTAGGAATCCGATCAAGGGTATTTAAGTAATCCGTCACTTGCCAGAGCGGCCTCGTCGCGGACACATATTTCCTGATGTATTCTTGAATTTGATCCATGGAGAATGGCGCAATGACCGCCTCTTGAAACGCTTGCTCTGCTTGGTGATTGCGATCTGCTGGCTGGAACCGATCTCGATAATCAAGCCCAAGGTACTCGCTGCGGCAGCTAATGACCATCTGAGCCCTCCATCCTCCCTCCTGATTCAGTCGGTTGCTCGTGTACAGGTTGTGTGTCTGCTGGCTCTCGTCATATCCGTCACAAATCAAGATGAATCTGCGGTAGTCTTTCAGCTCTCGGATCTGGGGTTCGGTAAACTCTGCCTTCCGTAGATGTTTGGCGATCAGATCCTGTTCTGGCTTGTCGATGGCGGGTAAGCTGATAAAAAGCGGAATCCTGCCTTCCTTTTTCTTATAGGCATCCCACAAGTCGCACTCGAGCTGCTGGTTAAAGGTCGACTTGCCTCCACCTGAATCACCTAGCAGGAGCATCACCTTATGGTCACTGCTCAGGAAGCCTTCAACTTCTTTTGTCAAGTCGAACAGGTTGTCATCAGACGCTTGCAGGTTAGCCTTGGCTTGAGGAGGGATGTACACGACTTTGCCTCGTTCCTTCAATCGTTGCTTTCTCAGTCGTCTCAGGTCGGCTTCAACATCGGGTTTGTTCTGGACAAGGTCAAGCAATGATGGAGATGCGACAGTTGGCAAGGCGACCTGCAGCGGATGTAAGCTTCGATTTTCCTTTCGGCAGACCTGGTAAAGAATCCTTTTCGTCTCATCGCCATTCGATTCCAGCTCTTGTAGCAAGGATTCGACACCTACATCATATATCGCATAGACCACAATAGAGTATAGTACAGCTATTAGTACCTGCTAGGTGGTGAATTCCATACCTCATAATAAGGCAAGAGCCTCTCACGTATCCGTTCATGTTCATCATACATACCTGGCATAGCTGAGCCAAATGTCGAAGCCAACTGCATAAGAATGTCAAGGATCCATTGCTTGACGAGGGCTTGCTGACCCCACTCCGTATCGTTTCGGTACATCTCGCCCAGAAACGCAACAGCACCTTGGCGGGACTCGATGTCCCACAGTGGATTGGCCGCAAGGTCCCCCAGGCGTTGGCATACTCCTAGTTGAAAGGCTAGATCACGCCGGCAAGGTGCTTCACAGACCAGGGTCTTGAACTTGGCAAGTTGACCGTCCCGAAGCAGTGTGTCTGCTCCGCGTAGTGCTGTGTACCAGGCACGTTTCTGGTTGAAGCTGAGACCGACTTTGAGAGATTCCAGCAGTCCTTGTCCACTCTCGACCAGTGCGCTCACACCTTCGTAACCGATTTTCGCTACCTGGATCACCTCTCCCAGTCCCTCCTGAAGATGCCCGAGTCCTGTGATGAAGCCGTTGACGTCCAGGCCTTTTACGGCACTAACTAGTCCCGAGACACCCTTCAAAACAATTCCAGTGCGCCGCACCGTTGCTTGCCATGGTGATTCGTTGTCTGGGACGCACTGCAGTGCTTGGAAGGCATAGGCAGCCTGATACACCAAGTAAGGATCGCTGCTGCCTTGCAGTCCATTCAAATAGGCAGAGAGTGGCTCGTGCAGCTCTACACGCTTTAAGCCTGAGACCTTGGTATCGGCCATGGCGTCCAGGACTTTGGACACTGCGAGAGTGAGACGGCCGATGTGATCTGAAGACTGAGTGTGAGTATCCTGTAAGCGGGTGTTGAGGTTGCGCAGGATCGTGGCTAGGTCATCCGAGTCGAGGTATCCCTCGGGAGCACTTTGGACCAACTGCGCTAGCCCTTCGAGAGACTGCACATCCAGCAGACTGGACTTGTCAACACCATCGACAAACAGCATGAGTAGAGAGTGGAAACATTCCTTTTCAAGAACTGGGGCCAGGCACACGACTTCTGCGACGGCGTTGGTATCCTTGAGCTCATCACGAGTGAATGCCCGGATCATATCTGTCGCCAGCGTCCTGAGTCTCTCCTTCTCCTCTGCATTCTTCTCTGTGGATTTCACCCAATTCCCTGCTGCTGGTTCAAAGACCTCTTCGGGCGATGGCGTCACTTGCAGAAGGCCAAGGCAGTAGGCGAGCTGGGAAGTATCGCGGAGTCGCTCATCTGTGTCTGGTAACGTGCACTTGACGGTGGGCTGACGCATATCATCGGGGAAGATATCCTTAGAGATCCGTGCCATGTCGCGGCGGGCCTTGTCGGTGACAGATGAAACTGTAGGACTTGGATCTTTTGTAGGACGCACATGGCTGTTGAAGTCAGAGGACAGTCAACAATATTGAGAGACGCGTTAGATGCGACGTATGATATAGCCGAGCTAATGCGAACAAGCAGAGAGCAGGTACCCTGTCACTTACCCCCATTTTTCTGCTCTCTTGTAGCTGACCTGCGCCATTTCACTATGTCCTAAGCTCACCAACAAGTTGGCGTGCTCGAGACAGGTGCCGGCGAATCCATCACGCAGGGCTTGATCCTCAACGGTCAAGGGAGTTGTAAGAATCTTTCTCGCAGCTCTTTTCATCCGGGATAACGCAGCCTCGGCGTCGTCGCACAACGCTAAAGCAAAAAATTCCTGACCCTTGGCTTTACGCGCATTCTCTATGTGAAAGTTGGCGAGTTCCAGCTCCTGTTGTGGCGAGAGAACCTTTCGCGGTGACGAAAAAGCTCTGTCAAACATGTTGCTTCTCTGAGGGGGGAGGGGTTCTCCTGTTATCATAGAGC